GTGGGGTCTGGACCTGTCCAGAGTAGCTAGTGCTTGTATCTGCCTAGAATGTGACTGAAAGCCTGAAAAACAAACTGGAGAATATCAGGTGCATTTGAATTAAAAATAAATTAAATTAAAAATAAATCTTGAATTAAAAATAAATTAAAAATAAATAAATCACAGTGGGGCCCGGTGGTGTGGCCTAGCGGCTAAAGTCCTCGCCTTGAACACCCCGGGATCCCATATGGACGCCGGTTCTAATCCCGGCAGCTCCACTTCCCATCCAGCTCCCTGCTTGTGGCCTGGGAGGGCAGTGGAGGATGGCCCAAAGCCTCGGGATCCTGCACCCACTTGGGAGACCCAGAAGTTCCTGGATCCTGGCCCCGGCCGTTGCGCTCACTTGGGGAGTGAATCATCAGACGGAAGATTTTCCTCTCTGTCTCTTCTCCTCTCTGTATATCTGACTTTCCAATAAATAAATAAATCTTTAGAAAAATTAAATTAAATTAAATTAAATAAATCACAGTGAAAACTTTGGAGCTGCCCAATGACCTTATCTGATAGCAGTTAAACTTGAGCTATTCATCCTGTTAATAAATTGTGAGTGAATGTTTCCCTGTAGGAAATTGTGCAAGTAGCATGTGTCCTTGCTTGTCTGTCTGACATGTCAATCATAATTACCTAATCGGCAGGCTGGCTGCAAGAAGCACTTTTGATTTTGTTTCACTAGATAGAACATTGAGCAATGAAATGGGAAAACAATCTAGATTGCATTTTTTAAATTATCTCATTTTCTCTAAAAGATACATTTCAGATTTGGAAAAGATATATTTTACACTTTATATGAAACTCTATTTTATATAACTCTGTGAAGAGGCTGTGTAGCAGATGGCTCTTTGAGCTGGTGTGAATTCTGGGTTTGCTAGTGAGCCTAAATGAGGTTCTTAGTTTCCCAAATCCTCATCTTTCTCACCTTCAGAGTGCACAATAAATGCTGGCCTTCCCCCTTTCCTGTTCAACTGGTAATTATTGAGAATCTCTTTTGTATGTGAGATTCTTTCTTGCACACTCAGAACTCAAAGGGCAAGGCAAGAATGCATCGAACTAGATACCTGCAGTTCAGTTTAATAACATTGTAATGGAACTGTGTTTGCTAAATGCTAATGAAGTATGTAATAACTGTTGGGGGGGCAGTTGGATAGCAGTGTTCATTTTAAATGATTTATGTTTAATGGCTATTTAATACTTTGTGAACACGAAGTCCTTGCATTTTGTGATCAGAATTTACCTTGAGGTAAATACTAGGTTGATTTGCAATGCATGGTAGTTTGATTTCTGTCCTTGTATTAAGAGCGTGTTAGAGCAGTTCAGCATTCATAGCGATCACTATCAGCAGTTATTAGTTTCAAGAGACTGAAGCTGTCCAAAGACATGCAAGACTGTGAGCTTGATACGGCTCACAGGTTCATGGGATTGTAATATGTGCTGACACAGAATATTGTTTGAGCGATAATTTGATAATTCCATGATCCTGGCATTATTTGTGCTACAAATAATGGCATGCACATGTGCAAAACTATAATTTGATGTTAAGGTCGTTTCAGAATGTCGTGACATTTATCCAGTGTCCCATCATGATTCGGAATGACATACAGTCATCATAACACAATCAGTCCCACTGAATTTGACAGCAGTCCTCTATTTGTGAGACATCATGTCTGGGAGGTACATTGGCAAATATGACTTTTCCTTATCTCTTCCTGAAAGGTGAAAGCTTAGCCTCTGCTTCTCTGTGCCTCCCATGGGGTGACAAAAATGCCCAAAGTCTGTCCTCTCTTTTTGTGCCACCCTTCAAGACCCAACATTCACATATAACCAGCTGACTCCCGGAGGCTCCCGAAAGCCAGACCTCTAGACCCTCGATTGCTACCTGAGGGGTGAACCTTGTGGCTCTCTCATTAATGATTTACTAACTATTCATGGTGCAAACAGGAATAAGACTGAGCTAATCTCTTGTTAACTCTGGGCAGGCGAAAGATTTTATGTCAAGGGCTGCTTCAGACTGTTACTCTTTAAGTATACATTTATAGCATGTTTAAGAAAAGCCAAGTACTATATGGGAAAAGAGAGGCAAATAGTCCCTCTAGTTCTTGCTCCAGTGGGTTTCAAAGATCTCAGCTGATTAGAAGGAAATAGTCAGATCCCTTAATCTGCTGCCAACATGTTTTATTCTCTCCTTATCCAGCTCTGGAAAGAGATACTCTGATAGATCCTTGGAATATAGATAAGATACCGGGCCCAGTCATCAAGGAACTTGATGCATTACCTGATATACACCATAAGCCAGTGTTAGATTATCTGTGCATGTTATACCAAAAAATTTTTTAAAGATTTTATTTTTTTTTTATTGGAAAGTCAGAAATACAGAGAGGAAGATCTTCTGTCCGATGATTCACTTCCCAAGTGAGCGCAACGAACAGAGCTGAGCCAATCCGAAGCCAGGAGCCAGGAACTTCTAGATCTCCTATACGGGTGCAGGGTCCCAAGGCTTTGGGCCTATCTCGACTGCTTTCCCAGGCCACAAGCAGGGAGCTGGATGGGAAGTGGGGCTGCCGGGATTAGAATCAGTGCCCATATAGGATCCTGGTGCATTCAAGGTGAGGACTTTGGTTGCTTGGCCACCACACTGGGCCACAGAAATACTTTTAAACATTCTATTGAAATACTGCAAAGTTTAAATTGTGGCTTAAGGTTCTCCCCCCAAAAAACTTTATCAGTTTATGACTGTTAATGCTAAACAAGATGTAACTGCATAGAAACTTTGATGTTAAGTTTGTACTCAGCTGTTATATATAATGGATGTTAATGTTAAAAAAAAATACCTCATAGGGCTTGGAGTGGCAAGATTGGCAGCAATTTATAACTGGTGAACTATCAAAACCACTTGAACAAGAACCTTGGAGCATACCCTACATGCGGGACCTGGGGAGGGTGGGAACTTGGGTGGGCCTTCTCCCTTAATACCCCCCTTTAAACATGAAGGAAACAATATGGAAATAATAGTCTTACCCACTTTCCTATAGCCCTTGAACCTTTTTACCCCAATTAACTATTTAAAGATTGTCAAAAATATAATAATAAAAAAGGTTAAAAAAAAATACCTATCTGTGTCCTCTGCTCTGCTCTGCTCTGCCCTCCTCCCTACCCTTCTCTTCCTGTCTTGTTCTCTCCTCTCCTCTCTCTTCCCCTGCTTTTCTCTCCTTCCCTTCCCTGCCCTCTTTCCATCTCCTCTCTTTTCCTCTCCACTAAATAAGCCAAACACATTTGCAGATTAAAGAGCAGAGAATTCAGGCTGTGGCTGGTGGTTAGGATGGCTCATGATGCTGGTTAATTCCCAGTGCCCCCAGAGTAGCCCAGATGATGAAATGAAATGTCCTTCTTTTAGGTCTATCCATTATTCAAAGTTTTAAATTTTTCAAATTGATGAAATAAGAGACTTTGATTTTATATGACATAAAACCTTCAATTTATGGGATTGTACAAAGCAGAGTGTAATTGTACAGCATTTTTTCCATAACTGATCTGCAAAATGAGTTCTCAGTACTCTACTAGACCCACATGGCTTCTTGCTGGACCTTACCTCTTAGGTTTTCATTTAGTTATCACTAAAGGGTAAGTATACCCAGATGGAAAACCCGGGTCGGTTTATAACATTGTGCGGTAGTTCTTTGTTTTATAAAGGAGTGTGCTAAATCAGTTTCCACACCCTCTACCAACCAGGAAGAAAGAACAGTATCCAGACCTGTCCTATTTCACAGCAGAGAGCCTTGGAACCTTTTGTTTCTCTATCAGAGAGCTGATTGCTCTTGTTTCTAGTTTTGAGCCCTTTGGGAGTATTTCCTAATGTGCCTCTCACTTGGAGTCTTATGAAAGGAGCTCTTATTTGAGTAAGAAGAGAACTCTGTGACATTACTGCTATCTCCAAATCTTCCAGAATACATTTTTAAAAGATAGTCTTGTTAAGATTCAATTTTCTGGCGTCATGTCACTGAGCAAAGAATTTTTTTGAGACTAGGAGAGCTAGCTTGGCACACTCATTAGCGTGGTAAGCTGGGAGCAGCAGCACCGCCAGCCTCAGCAGCTGGGTCTGTCAGAATGGCTGGAACCGTCTTTGTCCTCTCCTGCCTCGTGCTGGCGGTTTCTTCTATTCTGAGAAGCACTGTTGTTGAGTGTCTGCGCCCTTTGAGCTTCCAGCTTGGTACTCTTGTGTAATCTGCTGAAGAAGAGGAAAAGCAGATAACTTGTGCTACAGTGTCTAAAATTAGTTTGAATGTTCTGAATAAAGAAACTAGCTACATGTTGATATTTCTTTATGTGATAGCAATGATTTCACCCTGAGATAAGCTGTCATTATAAGTGCAGCTCTCACTTAGTTCTACGTTTGTGTCTTGTTAGCAATATCTTCCTCAGGTTTCTGTAAATGTTAAATGAGAAAAAGTAAAAGAATGCCTTAGTAGGTGTACTGGAAATGTTCAACCCTGTGCAAAGAAATATAAAATAAAACAACAGTAAGATCCTTTTTCACATACAGAATTCACAAAGGTATTTTTCTTAAGTATGGATTCCTAAGCCTGATGAGGTGCTATTTTTGTTGTTTGTAGGAAAGAAAATAGGTTAGTATAGAAAAGGTTAGTATAACCTTTTGGAAAATAATTTGGTGTTATAAGTCAGATACCTTGATTTATTTGTACTCTTTGACCAGGAAATCTCATTTGGAAGTCTATGCAAAAAAAAAGAAAAGCCACATGAACAGAGTACAGAGACGTTTGCAGTATTGTTAGCAACTTTTCTTGAAAAAGAAACCCATGTTTATTAGAATGCTTTGTGTGACCTTGTCTTGTATACATTTCATAAAGTTATTTTATATATTGGAAATTGTACAACTACATAAGTAAATAAATTGTCTTATAGTCCTGCAACACATAAAATATGTCAATATGTTAATAATTTCTTTTCAGGAATTTCTCAAGTTGAAGTTAATTGCAGAGTTGCCAGCTGACCAGCATTCATAAGGTAAGAGTAATATCCCTAATTGTGAACACATGGTACAGATAATTACAATTAAGTTGGTAGCTTGGGGCCAGTAAATACTGAGTACTGAAAGAGATGACTGTGCTTAACAGATGTTTTGAGTAAAACCTAATGTTTTGAAACCAGTTAAACACAAATTTATATCTGTAGACACTTTAGTAAAATGTCATCTTCCTGCCTTTTGTGGGTTTTCTATATAGGAAAATGTGTATCTATGTTTCATGTTGGTCATCTTTAACATTAAAAAAATCCAAGGAATAAATGTGTCTGAGGTATTGAGTCCATGTTTATATTGTTTTTGTTTAAGGCAACATTTTTACTAAATAGGATCAGTTTGCTAAGTCTCTAAGAAAAAGATGGCCACATTTTCCTTAAATCAACAATTTAGAAATAAACAAGTCCTTCACATCCTTATTATTTTGTAACTGGAAGGTTAATCATAAGTTAGATCTGCAGCCGGGCTTTGGACTTTGATGTGATGAGTGATGGATTTGTATTAAACAGTCCAGTTGTTACACATACTCCGTCTGTGAGGTGTCAGCCATTTCTGTACATGTGTTCCAGGTCAATCAGTGGTGAGGACAGTGGCTCATCAGGAAGCCCTTTTAACAGAGGCAGGGGAAGATCCTTTGAGTTCTTGGATATATCCATATTTCCATGCTAATTTATTGAGTTGACAATTTTTTTAAGGCAAAAGTGTTTTTATTTTTTTAAAAATTTGTCATGCTGCAGCTCTGTGGGCTCAGGGATTTCCCCTTCCACCCCCTCCCTCCCTCCTCCTCGCTACTATTTTCCTCCATATTATTACAATAGGATAGTCTTTCGGTAACACTCACCATCCATTATTCTACTATGTAGACACTGAATGAACTCCCAATGAAATTGTTAACTATTTTTTGACAATAGAATGCTAGGCTCTCTACCATTGTCCATGCCCACAAAGACGGACATACTACTGTTTTTGAAGAACTATACTATAGTAATAATATAGAGTAACTCAGTGGCGTTGGGGTGTAGGGGAGGGAGTTTCAAAGGGTGGGGGAAAGGGAAGTCCTAGGGCCTATGCAACTGTATCATAAAATGATAATAACAACAATAAGTGGGCCTGGTATGGCAGCATAGTGGCTAAAGAGCTTGCCTTGCAAGCACCAGGATCCCGTATGGGCACTGGTTCTAATCCTGGCAGCTCTACTTGCCATCCAGCTCCTTGCTGGAGGCCTGGGACAGCAGTGGAGGACAGCCCGCAAGGGAGACCCAGAAGAAGCTTCCGTCGGCTCAGCTTCCAGTTGGGGAGTGAATCAGCAGATGGAAGATCTTCCCCTCTGTCTCCTTTGTCTCTGTATATCTAACTTTCCAATAAAAATAAATAAATCTTTTAAAAATAATAACAGTATTAAGTATAAAAAACTGTAACAGAAATAAGTATTCTATAGTATATTTGAAACTTTGCATTTATTTTATTAAAATGGCCTGTTATGAGGCCAGGTTGCCAGAATCAATACTGATAACTTAAAAAAACAAAACAAAACAAAACAAAAAACCCTGACAACTCACTAATCCTTTTCAAGTTAGGATCTTTGTGGGATGACATGGTGTAGTAGGCCAGACCTCAACCTTGAGGGGCCATTGTGTTGGCGCATCAGGCTCATCTTGCTCCCATGTGGGAGACCTAGAAGAAGCTCCTGGCTCCCAGCTTCAAATCAGCACTACTCTGGCTTTTTGCAGCCATTTGGGGAATGAGCCAGTTGATGGAAGACTTTCTCCCTGTCTCTTCTCTATTTCTGTAAAATCTGCCTTTTAGATGAAAGTAAATAAAGCTTCAAAATGCAACCTTTGTATGTAAACCCATGTTCTTTTATGTCATAATCCTAGAGAAAACATTTGCAGTCCTCTCAACTTTAGTTTTCTTATTATAAGGAGTAGACACTGGTTTCTATAGTGATTCCACAAATAAAATTGTGAATGTTATTCTGCCTTTGTGAAAGGAAGGTCGCCTGTGGAAGCAGATGGAATGATGATGTCTGCTACTCTCTTCTCATTTGAATGAGAGCCTGTATGACACAAAAGAGACTGTACTGGTGTGGATTTGCCTTGCTTTATTTTGGTTTGCTATTGTGGGGGTAGAATAGCCAGTAAAATACTTTTATAATCAACAAAAGGTAGAGAAGAAGGATCAGAAGTTGCCTTATGTTTATATTTTGTCTCCAAGAATTTCAAACCCCTGGCAGCTTATAGTTTGGTGGTAGTGTTATAGTAATATGGTTTAGTAGAAATCCTAAGAATTGAATTGTTCTGGCATAAAAGGACAGTTACTATCTAAACCAAATATATAATGTATTATAGAACCTCCAGAAAAAAAAGGAAAAGGTGACACAATACTCATTAGAGGTCAGAAAAATTTAGATACAGCTTGAATTTTTAGATTTGGTTCATCATTTTCATTTGCTAAGAAACTTGTAATTTGCTTATTTTTTGCATTTGCTTTATTTCAATTCAGTAACTTTCTCTTGAGGTTTTAGATGTCTGGAATGATTTCTCTGACATTTAACTATGATTGGTTCACAAACCCATGACCACTGTGCATCTGTGGGTCAGCAGCTTCTGAGTGGCTGGTATCTCCAGCCTTTCTTAATTTGCATCATCTGATCACAGTGTGAGACTCTCCTTTTAAACCCACATTGCTATGCTCCACAAGCACCATGCTGCTTCTGCTTTTGTGTGCTTGAAACATGCCTTCATTGGCAGGTGACACTGGGCTGAAACATACCACTCCAGCACCAAGGCATGCCACGTGCCACTGTGCAGTGTGGGGCTCCAGGTTGCCCAGGGAAGCGGGCCAGGCTGGACTAGGCTGTAGCACCCACAGGTGAGAACAGGTATGGGTCAGTAGGCTAGGCCACAGCACCTGCCAGTGAGTACTAGGACAGGGAGCAGGCCATGTCAGGCTGGGCCACAGCACCTGCTTGCCAGTTGGAGCTTTGGGACTGGAAGTTGATCTCGAGATAAAAATCAAGATGGGGTAAACTGTAAGACATGACACAAAAACTGCACAAAGATTTTAGGCAGTGCCTCCCTGATCGACTGACTCAGCTAGATGGAAGGGCTTCCAAGAAATTCAAGCATCCTTGTCCTGATTTAGATATATGATGCTAGACTGCAAGCTTGAATTTCATGCTATAATGAGGTGATATTTGGGAGTGGCTTAAGAGGCAGTTTAATGTGTTTTCCATGTAGGGGAAAGATAAGTCCCTCGTGGCCAGAAAATAGATGGCAGTGGGTTAAGCAAGGCTACAAATCCTTTGCTACTCCTACTATTCAGTGGTAGAATCTGCCTTCTCTCTCATTGAATCTAGTCTGTCCCTGTGGCTCCTTTAACCCATGGATTTTGAGTGGATATGGCACTGTGTGTCTTCAAGAACAATGTCTTCAAAGAGGTACATCTTACAATTTTGTATTGATAATCACCATCGTGGAACCCAGCCCTGGGGCTGGCATTGTGGATTAGCACTTAAGGCTGCTGCACCTCAAATCCAGCTCCCTACTAATGCACCTGATGAAAAAATAGTGGAAGGTTGGGCCCTTAAATCCACATGAGAGACCCAGAGCTTCCACCTCTCCAAGCCCTGGCCATTGCAGCTGTATGAGGAGTGAACCGGCTGATGGAAGATTTCTCTATGTGTTTCCCCTTTTCTGTAACTCTTTGTTTCAAATAAAAATCAAAGAATAGGAGGAAAAGGAGGAAGAGGAAGAACAGGAGAACTCTGCCACCATGGAATGGGAAACTAGAAGAGCCTCATGGAGTCAGATGGAATTGTTACCAGTCAGCAGTTAGCACCAACTGCTGGCCTAATGACCAAGGACATTCTGGACTTTCCAGCTGTCTTTGTACCACCCGACACCACAGTCATAGAACCTCACAGAATCTCAAAAATGAAAATCTATTTTTCGCTAAGTTATTAAAGCTTTGCAGTGTGTAGGACAGTTCATCAAAATCTTCAGTGGTATGCTGCTGGAGTCTAACCTTCTCCTGGGAAAGACTCACGTTACTTTGAGTATTCTCTGCCTAAATATATGGGCATTTTTATGCCTCTTGTATTTTTTATGTTGTTCTTTATCACACACTAAGTTGTAGAAATTGTGTAGGATACTGTAACAGCATAAGATCCAAACCTGAATCCATTTGATTCCTGCTTCTCCATGGACCTTCTGATGTTGCCCAGTGATATAGAATTCGTTGAAGTTTTATTTTACTTTCATTGAAAAGGCAGATTTACAGAGAGGAGAGACAGAGAAAAAGATTTTCTGTCCACTGGTTCACTCCTCAAGTGGCCACTAAAAACCTGTAGATCCTTCCACATGCTGGATCTACAGATTGGGATCTTTCCAGCCCTAAAGACAATCAGTCACTTAGGAGCCATTCACTTGATGATGTTTTAGTATCGCAGCCTCAAAGTGTGAAAATGATCTTTCTGAAGTTCTTGTTTGTCATTTTTCAGATGATCACAGTCATATGTTTTCAATATAAAAACAATTGAAAAGCATATGGAACTTGATAATAGAAAGCAAGTAGCCCTGGTAATCCCACATTCATGGTCAGCCACCATTGCCAGCTCCATATACTTCCAGAATGCTTAAAAGCCTATATTCTGTAACAGGTATGTTTCAATACACAAAAAGGGATTTCTTTTTAAAGATTTATTTTTTTCAAAAAAATGTATTTTATTGGAAAGGCAGATTTACAGAGAGAAAGGAGTTCCGGAAAGATCTTCCATCCACTGATTCATTCCCCAAGTGGCTGCAACAGGTGGAGCTGAGCTTAAACAGAACCAGGATCCCAAAGCCTTGGGCTGTGCTTGACTGCCTTCCCAGGCCACAAGGAGAAAGCTGGTTGGGAAGCAGGGCAGCTGAGACACAAATCAACGCATATATGGGATGTGTGTGTGCAAGGTGAGGACTTTAACCACTAGGCCCATGCTATAAAATTTTAATTTTTAGTTGCTATTTCACTCTGCTTTCTTTTCAAGTACGTTAAAATGTACTCTTGGGCCCGACGCGGTGGCACAGTGGTTAAGGTCCTCGCCTTGCACGCCCAGGATCCCATATGGGCGCTGGTTCTATCCCGGCCAGCCCCACTTCCCTTCCAGCTCCCTGCCTGTGGCCCGGGAAAGCAGGAGAGGACGGCCCAAAGCTTTGGGACCCTGTACTCTTATTGTGTCTCATTGCATGATTGAAATAACTTCTCTGCTATTCTGCTATTCTTCTCTAATCCATCCTGCAAATCTCTGTAGCTCAATGAATTACTGTTTCACTTCCTCTTATATTTGAATCTATGGAAGGATCCATGTATAGATGGTAGTGACTGCATTACTTTTTGGTCTAAGGGGGAACGAGCTGCCCTCATGTATTTTGCAACTTCAAAGAAGACTTAAATGATAGCCACTTTTCCCAGAATGGTAATTGCAGAACTGTTTTAAGAGCTTACCCATCCTGGGGAGATTTGAACCAAGATAAACAAAAATTTGTTTGGCTTTACCTAAACCAGTTACATTTATCTGTGTGAACAGGCTTGTATTTTGGTTTCTTTTCAAAGTGTCATGGATTATTCTAATTGCCACATTTGAGAATTTCTGTCTTAGATTTACAATTCTCAAAAAGTTGTCTGGAGTGGGCTTTATGGTACAACAGGCTGCAACATTGCTTTGTGATGCTGATGTGACTCCGGCTGTTCCACTTCTGATCCAGCTCCTTGTCAGTGCACCTAGGAAAGCAGAGAAGTTGGGTTAACTGCTTGGGCCTTATCCACCCATGTGGGAGGACAGGATGGAGTTCTAAGCTTCTGGCTTTGGCCTAAACCCAGCCCCAAGGGTTGTTCCTGTTCAGGGAGTAAATCAGCAGATGGAAGATATCTCCAGCTCTCCCTCTCTCGTTCCATAACCTTGACGTTCAAATAAATAAGTAAATATTTATGTATTTTATATATTTTCAAAAAGTGATCCTTGAACCAACAAGAATTGGTTAGAATAGGATAGGTCTATTGAATGGTAAACTTTGAAGGTGGGAACCTTCTCTTGGTGATTTTCATGGAAATTAATATGAAATACTCTACTACACAGATTGTAGTTTCTCTCTAGGTCCCTAGACTGTAACTAAGTTTATCTGTACCGTTATTTAAATATCATTATGCTGTGCCCCACACAGTAGCTAAGATTTAGCTAGTGGCTAAATCTTTGCCTTGCATGCTTGGGATCCCATATGGGTGCTTGTTTGTGTATTGGCTGTTCCACTTCCCTTCAAGCCTCCTACTTATGGCCTGGCAAAGCAGTCAAGGATGGCCCAAAGCCTTGGGACTCTGCACCCATGTGGGAGAACTGGAAGAAGCTCCTGGCTCCTGGTGTTGGATCAGCTTAGCTCCAGCTGTTGCAGCCACTTGGGAAGTGAACCAGCAGATGGAACATCTGTCTATCCTTCTTAATGTAGGATATGCCTTTCCAATAAAAATTAAAATATATATCTTAATAGTGGAGCTACTGTATGATCCAGCAATCTCTCATAGGTCTATATACAAAGAAAAATGACATTGGTGTGTTAAGGAGGCATCTTTACTGTGACATTTATAGTAGCACTATTCAAATTAGTCAAGAAATACAAACTACCTAAGTATTTATCAGTGGTGAATAAAGAAAAAATGTGGTCTGTATTCACGGTGAAACACTAACCAGACATTAAAAGGGATGAAATCCTGTCATTTATGACAACATGGATAGACCTAGAACTCATTTTATGAAGTAAATTTAAGCCAAGCATAATGGACCACCACATGATCTCATTCTAAAGTACATCTCGTAGATGGTTAAGAGCAGAATGGAGGTTATCAGAGGGTGAGAGGATAAGGACTAGCAACTGGGGAACATTTAGAGAATGGTTATGAATGGTTATCAAGTCATAGAAGTGAGCAGTTTTGGTGTTCTGTTGCACTTTAGTGTGACTATAGATAAAAATAATGTACTGTATATTTCAAAAAAAAATTTTAAGTGTTTGAGCAGATAGATATGTTTGCCCTAATTGGAACGTTATGTTGCACATCCATCTAGCCAAATAGTATATTGCATCCCATAAACGTATACAATTGTTACGTGTCAGTTTATAAATAAAAATTGGCGGAATAATGTCTGTATTTTGTACAGAGTTAACAGTCTCCGCTTGGAGTTGTTTGCCTGGGATCAGAGACAGAGATCATTGGGACAGGATTCGGTTCTCATTGTATAATGGCTCCAAATACCAGCAGCTCGTCATTGTTTATTTTCTCATTGGTTATTTTGGACATACTTTCAAAGCAAATACTGGGAAATAAGGATGCCTAACTTGAGTGTTGTTTTTCCAGCCTTGGAGACTTTTGAATGGGAGTGTCAAATGAATTCTTGTGCTTTGAAGAGCTTTTATGACTTTATGATGAGGTTTAAAAACTAAAAGAATGATAATAGGACCATAAAATTATGATTTCTTTGAACTAATTTGAAGCATTTGTGTATAAGAAATGTAGATCTCATTTGAATTGGCTTTCATTATTTGCTAAAAGGTAGTCTGGGGGAGGGGAATCTACACCCATAAGCAGTATTAAAGGGCCCAATGACAAATGAGTCATGCCCTAACTCCAGTGAAGCATGTCAGTGAGAAAAATTGGCATCTGATATGTAGAAATGCTTCTGACTTTTCAGATTTTTTTTAAAAGATTTATTTTATTTTCGGGCCTGGTGCAGTGGCGCAGTGGTTAAGGTCCTCGCCTTGCATGCCCGGGATCCCATATGGGCACCGGTTCTAATCCCGGCAGCCCCACTTCCCATCCAGCTCCCTGCCTGTGGCCCGGGAAAGCAGTCGAGAATGGCCCAAAGCCTTGGGACCTTGCACCCGTGTGGGAGACCCGGAAGAGGCTCCTGGCTTTGGATCGGCGTAGTATCGGCCATTGCGCTCACTTGGGGAGTGAATCATCGGACGAAAGATCTTCCTCTCTGTCTCTCCTCCTCTCTGTATATGTGACTTTGTAATGAAAATAAAATAAATCTTTTTTTAAAAAAAGCTACTGCAACGGCTGGAGCTGAGCCAATCCAGAGCCAGGAGCCAGGAACTTCCTCCATGTCTCCCATGCGGGTGCAAGGTCCCATGGCTTTGGGCTGTCCTCGACTGCTTTCCCAGGCCACAAGCAGGGAGCTGAATGGGAAGTGGAGCTGCCAGGACTAAAACCTGTGCTCATATGGGATCCCGGTGCATTCAAGGCGAGGACTTTAGCTACTAGGCCACACCGCCAGGCCCAATTTTCAGATATTCTTAAATGCAGATGTTATTTACTAAATATCAAGTCTTAGGAGAAAACATTGAATAGAAAAATAGTTTAGCTGAGAAAGTAGATTACATATATGCAACTGAAGACATTTCAGAAAACTACATTTGCCTTTGTGTTTTTCAAAAGATTACAGGGGAACCCAGTTATAATGCAGATGTCAGGATGAATTGGGAAAGAGAGTTGAACAGCTTTTTCTTGATTGAAGAGAACCAGGACTATGGTGTAATTCCGTGGATTGACTGGGACCATGGGATTTAGTGTTAGGACCTACATTCTAGTTGTAACTTTCTTTTCATTTTTGCCATGTGAGATTGTGTTATTTTCCATTTTTGTAATACAAAAAAAGCAAAACAATCTCAGTGGATTGATCTAAGTACAAAACAAATAAATGTAAATATTGTATGCTTTGAAAGTGGAAAAACAGATATTAGATGATTCATGTATTTTGACTGCTCTGTTTACTGACAAGGAACTCTTCAAAGGAAGTCTCCAGTGATGTCATCTGTATAGCCAGTACACATCCAGGCTATCTACATGTTTCACTTATAAAATGACTGGATATTAGGTGGTAATTAATTATAAAGCAGGCTTTACTATGGGTGAATAAGGCCAAAGCAAATTACAAACATGCCCTCAAAAAAACGAAAAAAACCAAGATTGTTTTTTTTTTTTCAGAGCAATGAAAACCATCCCAGGAACTTTTTTGAGGATATGTAGTCACTAAATTTCAGATTCAGAATTTTCTCACAATTTAAGCTTAATATAATATAATGTATAATATAATATAATGTAATTCATCCATGAAAAATAATTAAAGTATGATCTGAGAATGGCTTTTATTACTCTTCAAATTAAAAATATAATATAAATCTTATTTCAGGGAATTTCACAGTAATTTGAGTTGTATCTGAAAAAGTGTATTAATTTATAACTTTTCCTAATGAATCAATGGACTGAATTTTAATAGTGCTAAGTTCTTAGTGATGTGTGGTTTTAAATAAGGATGTAGAAATCACAAGGTTTGATGAGCTAGCTGATAAATGCAAATAAGACCATCTGTGTCTGAGGGCTGAGAGAAATTAACGTATGTAAACTACTTGGAAAAAAACAAGTGTTGTACATGCAGAATTTTTAAATATGTTGCATCTGAGTTTCTATAGAACCTTATTTATAATTGAAAGAAAATTAAGGGAATTAGTATGGCCTAATGGGTTTGGATAGAATCCTAAATACAGGCATAGCTTGATCAGAATGTGCCCCAGTATGAAAGTCAACTGACTTAGGAAAATCTACCTGAAGATATATAGATGGATGTAGCTGCTTCAAGATATTTATGCTTTCTTGTAGAATGAAGATAACCACAGAGATGATGGTGTGTCTAAGAAACTTCAAAAGATGCCGACCTCCTGATTGAAGTATAGCTGACTGATTTGTCAGTTTTTTCATTATAGTAAGTATAAAAATGTAAAGTGCATTATTTAAGTGAACGTCTCCCTGTATCCTTTGTTAAATACATTTGACTCTCTTTCTAAATACCCTTACCATTGTTAGAACTGCTTGTGTTTTCTTTCCTCCACTATTTCAGTTATATACTTTACAGGAATTAAACTCTTGAAAACTTTGAGAGGACAGACAGAACCCCAGAAGATCCTTCAGAGAGAATGATTCTCTGTCCACTACAGGAAGTTTATTCAAATTTTACTAGTCATAGGGAGCTGAACTGTTTCACAGAGCAATTAGGTGTATGATGATCCACCTGCAGACCGAATCAAAATATGATATTCTAAAATGTCCACCTACCTATTTCTGTCTTTGGAATAAATTCATATATTCTTTCATCCATGAGTACTTGTACAAAAATATGAAGATGAACTGTCAACCCATACTGGTCATAATTTGACTTACCTGAATACCATCAATTTCTTGCTTTATAGTTGATAGATCCTGATTATTTTGTTGCCCATTTGTCTTTAGCTTCATGTTGAATCTGAGATGTAATCTCAATAGGCATACACAAAAAGACTGCTGCCCCTTTGACTGCTTCAACCTATTAATAAGGTCAAGTGATATGATCACTACTGTAGCATTATAGGTATAACATGGTTAACTGTAATAACCAAAATCTCCTGGTGTGCAGACAGCAGCTTCCTTGATAGTGTATGCAACCTGTTGCTTGTATGGCTTGCCCTAAGGGACCTTGGAGACAGTCCTTTAAAGTGGCCATTCCTGCATCTAACCTCATGCTGTTCCTCATCTAGGCTCCCCAGTTATGCAGGGTGCTTTGGGAGAGCCTCAAGGCACAGTAGCCAGGGTTCACATTGGCTGAGTCATCATGTCCTTCTGCACCAAGCTGCAGAACAAGGTGTGGTTAAGGCCCTACACAGGGCCAACGTCAGGTTCCCTGGTTACTGGAAGATCCACATCTCAAAGAATTGGGGCTTTACTAAATTCAATGCAGGTGAATTCAAAGACACGGTGGCTGAGAAGTGGCTCATCCCTAGCAGATATAGGCTCAAATACATCCCCAACCATGGTCCCTTGGACAAGTGCGAGCCCTCCACTCGTGTAGCCTCTGCTAATCTATGCTTTTTAATCTGATCAATAATAAACCCTGATTTCTGTTGAAAAAAAAAATCCATGTTCTTTCATTCACCAGTGTTTTCTGCCATACTACCCTTAACCTATGCTACTACTACATGTTTATTGTCTTTTTCGGTCTAAGTCTAGGAATTTCTATTTGTCTCATGTAATCCTTGTGTTTTTTGGTTTTTGTCTTGCCTTGACACACAATTATGGTTAACCACAGTGAGGGCAAGGCAGAATGGGAGGAATTGAAAGTTAGAAATAGATCCACTACACTAGAGTAATGGCAGAAAATCCTGAAGAGTTAGATAATCAAACCACAAGGCTGAGAAGGAAGGTGAATCCTTATAAAGTGGACATGGGCAGAAAGCAGTGCTCCAGTCCAGCCATTAAAATCACTTATCACAATATAGAATGCCATTACACTTGAGAGATTATGATGGCATAGAGTTCGCACATCAGTAATGTGCTGAGCATAATCAGCAAGAGAAGAAACTTGTTAACTGAGATAGAACCCTGGGACTCAAAGCAGGATATCAGTCTCCAAATGGAGGACTATTAGAAGCAAAATAGGCTCTCTTTGGATGCTGCCAGTGGCGGGGTGTCCAAAAGAATAGAACTTCCCAATCAGGATAGTCCAGAAGGAAGCCTTGGTGTGGTGAGCTAGACTATCAGTAAAGGATGACCATGCTACCATAAGTTGTGCTCTTACTCTTAGCAGATGATTTATAAGATCCAAGATATTTCCTTTTTTAAAGATTTGATTAATTTTTATTTGAATGGTAGAGTTACAGAAAGAAGAGAGGCAGAAAAGGTAAAAGAGAGAAACAGAGACTTCTTACAACCATTGGTTCATTCCCCCAAAGGCCGCAATGACCAGAGCTGGGCTGGTGCGAAGCCAGAAGACAGGAATTTCTTACAGATCTCCCATGTAGGTGCAGGGTCCAAGGGCATGGGCCTTCCCAGGCCACTTGCTGCCTCCTCAGGCTGTACGCAGGGAGCTGGACTGGAAGTAGAGCCTCCAGGACTCCAATCAGTACCCAAATGGGATGCCAACACCACCGCAGTAGGCTTAGCTAGCCTCCAAAATATTAACTTTCATCTTATTATTTGCCAAATATAGGTGGTCTGTATTTTTATGACTAATAATTTATTGAACAATTGTATGTGTAAGCATAGAAACTCTGAGTTTTGTCTAACTTTCAGTATTGTTTTTCTAAAGACACAAATAATTGAGAAATACAGTATATAATATACTTTATATATATTATACTATGTACTTTATATTATATACTGATTATCACAACATTAAGGTACAAGATGGTTTTCCCATGGTAGGAATATTTTCACAAGTGTTTTTTTTTCCCTCTCTTTCATTTTATTTATTTTTTTTCCTCTTTTTAAGCCATTATTGTTATTTCCCCACTTCTAAATGCACATGCACTGAAGTAACAAAGTTCAGAGGCAAGAATAGATAATGAATTCAGTGACTGTTTTGGTTTCAGAACCAGTAGATCTTTGTATGCCTAAAGGATAATTCTGTAAAGCTCCTTGTGGTTGAAACAGCTCCTAGGATAACCGATGCTCTAAATGTGGAACAAGACATGGAAGGGAACTTATTTGGACCTTCTAGAGGCTAGAAAATATGACTGTTAGAAATCAGTAACACAGAGATAAAATTTTCCAATGAGTTAATCGCTCCTGGTTTCGGTAGGCTAGCCTAGAGCTAAGATCCAAGAGTTTAACCGGGTAATTGCCTCAAGCACTAAACCTGTATAAATGCAACTTATTGCTGAATGATCTGCCATCTAAGCAACTTTATAGCACAGAGTTGGAATGGCCTGGAGTTCCCAGAGGCCACCACCATAAGACCCCTTGAAAGCCCATCTTCCTCAGTGTGTCTATGAGCTAAATCCTGCTTGGGTAGAGTCTGTCTGTACAAGTATAAGCATTCAACCCTTATTTGTCCTTGATTCAGTGATGTTTCTTCTATTTTTCTCTTGGCAGATTCTGTATATGTACAAGAGGAAGTCATGATTACCCTAACAGAGCTGAAGTGTTTAGCAGATGCCCAGTCATCTTACCACATCTTAAAACCATGGTGGGACGTGTTCTGGTACTACATCACCCTGATCATGCTGCTGGTGGCAGTGCTGGCCGGAGCTCTCCAGCTTACACAGAGCAGGGTTCTGTGCTGTCTTCCATGCAAAATGGAATTTGACAATCACTGTGCCGTGCCTTGGGACATACTGAAAGCCAGCAAGAACATGTCGTCTAGCCCCCAGATGTCACTTCCACTGCCCCTCCGAATCCAGAATGATCTCCACCGACAGCAGTATTCCTACATTGATGCTGTTTGTTATGAGAAACAACTCCATTGGTTTGCAAAGTTCTTCCCCTACCTGGTGCTCCTGCACACGCTCATCTTTGCAGCCTGCAGCAACTTTTGGCTTCACTACCCCAGTACCAGTTCCCGACTGGAGCATTTCGTGGCCATCCTTCACAAGTGCTTCGACTCTCCGTGGACCACCCGTGCCCTGTCTGAAACAGTGGCTGAACAGTCAGTGAGACCCCGAAAACTCTCCAAGTCTAAGACTTTACAATCGTCCTCAGGGGGTTCTGCCGACGTTGACTCCAGCAAGCAGTCATTGCCCTACCCACAGCCAGGGCTGGAGTCCCCAGGCATAGAAAGCCCCACTTCCAGTGTGCTGGACAAGAAGGAGGGCGAACAGGCCAAAGCCATCTTTGAGAAAGTGAAGAGATTTCGCATGCATGTGGAGCAGAAGGACATCATTTATAGGGTATACCTGAAACAGATAATAGTCAAGGTCATTCTGTTTGTCCTCATCATAACTTATGTTCCATACTTTTTAACCTATATCACTCTTGAAATTGACTGTTCCATTGACGTGCAGGCTTTTACAGGATACAAGCGCTATCAGTGTGTCTACTCCTTGGCAGAGATTTTTAAGGTCCTGGCTTCCTTTTATGTCATTTTGGTTATTCTCTATGGCCTCACCTCCTCCTATAGCTTGTGGTGGATGTTGAGGAGTTCGCTAAAGCAATATTCCTTTGAGGCATTGAGAGAGAAAAGCAACTACAGCGATATCCCTGACGTGCAAAATGACTTTGCCTTCATCCTGCACCTGGCAGATCAGTATGACCCACTTTACTCCAAACGTTTCTCCATATTCCTGTCCGAGGTCAGCGAGAACAAACTGAAACAGATTAACCTGAACAACGAGTGGACAGTAGAGAAGCTGAAAAGTAAGCTGGTGAAGAATTCCCAGGACAAGATAGAGCTACGGCTCTTTATGCTCAGCGGCCTCCCGGACAATGTCTTTGAGTTAACAGAAATGGAAGTGCTGACCCTTGAGCTCATCCCAGAGGTCAAGCTCCCCTCTGCCATCTCACAGCTGGTCAACCTCAATGAGCTTCGTGTCTACCACTCATCCTTGCTGGTGGACCATCCTGCACTGGCCTTTCTAGAAGAAAACTTAAAAATCCTCCGCCTGAAATTTACAGAAATGGGAAAAATCCCCCGCTGGGTATTTCACTTGAAGAATCTCAAGGAACTTTACCTGTCAGGCTGTGTGCTCCCTGAGCAGTTGAGTACCACACAGTTGGAGGGCTTTCAGGACTTGAAGAACCTGAGGACGCTCTACTTGAAGAGCAGCCTGTCCCGGATCCCCCAAGTCATTACAGACCTCCTGCCTTCACTGCAGAAGTTGTCCCTTGACAATGAGGGATGCAAACTGGTGGTGTTGAACAACCTTAAAAAGATGGTCAACCTGAAGAGCCTCGAACTGATCGGCTGTGACTTGGAACGCATTCCACACTCCATTTTCAGCCTGAACAATTTGCATGAGCTAGACCTCAAGGAAAATAACCTGAAGACAGTGGAGGAGATCATTAGCTTCCAACATCTTCAGAATCTGTCCTGCTTGAAGTTGTGGCACAATAACATTGCTTATATTCCTGCCCAGATTGGGGCATTATCTAACCTCGAGCAACTCTCTTTGGATCATAATAATATTGAGAATCTGCCCTTGCAGCTTTTTCTATGCACCAAACTGCAGTATTTGGATCTAAGCTATAACCACCTGACCTTCATTCCAGAAGAAATCCAGTATCTGAGTAATTTGCAGTACTTTGCTGTGACCAACAACAATGTAAGTAAATTCATTCTCTTTACTTGGCCAGCTCTTTACAGTATTTGCTATGCTTGCAATTTGTAATGTAGAGAAAGAGAATGCATTTGAAATCATACAAAGCATTCTCTGAGCCAAACCCAAGCCCATGTGGTCTTGAACAAATTACCAAAAGACTGGGTATCAGTTTTTACTCTAACTTACAAGTTGTCATGGAGATTTTATGAAAAAGTGTAGAAGTATCTGGCATGGTTCCTGGCGTGTAATAGTTGCTCAACAAATGTCCCCTTTATTCTTTTTCTCTCATTCTCTACATAAACACCACACATTCAAAGTATTTTAAACTAATTGGTTATGGTGGAGCTTGCTTTTTGTTTCTGGAATGTTTTTAAGTACATAGAGAAAATTTTTCAACTTTCCAAATCTCCCATAAAAGAATAACTTTTTGTTTCAAACTTCTGAGATTATGAATTATTCATAAAACATTTTTATAATGCATTAAAAAGAATTGAACTCCACATGAGTTTCTAGAAAGAAAATTCAAAATGAAAGGCCTGGCACTGTAATGAAACACTTGGGTTTCTCCAAAGCTTTTGCCAGCATCCATGCTTAAAAATGAACCATAATTTGCAACAGTAAAGCCAAGCTGAGGAAAAGTTAGCTTCACTGAAACAAGAGAAAACAAAATAAATGAGTAGTTTCCTAGGCTAAAATGTGAAGGGGGAGGGAAAAAAAAATGTCATGGTGATGGCTGTATGGGAATGAGAGAGGTGGAACTCAGCAATTAGGTCTGACAAGAAATGGAACTAACCTTACTTGGAGTGTTCTCATCACTGCTTCCTAATACCCCACTAAATAATGTATTATTACTTTTGTCATACCTATTTTATACTAGTGCATAGTACTAGCCAATTGACATTAATCGTCAGACTTAATTTTCGAAATCATGAATGATAAAGAAATACCAAAAAGTTGGAGGGTCATACCTTGTCCCCCTGTTAAGTATGTAACGCAAATATAATTCCTTTAAAAAGTTTTGCTTCCACCAAAATTATATACCCAAGTAAATCACAACTACATGCATTTTTGAGAGTTGTGGCTGATTAAATAGTGGCTAAATGACCATGTTTAAATGTATGCGCAAGTTAATGCTTTGTTGGGTTGATACAATGAAACCTTGAGACCATGGATAATTTTGACACCAAGTTATTGACTGTGCTTGAAAGAATAGATTGAAATGGTAATAACATCCTTTGTTGAATAAGTGCTCTCTTTCATAAGGGAAGATACTGGGGCCAGCACAGTGGCAGGACATGGTAATCCTCCACCTGTGGTGTTAGCATCCTGAAAGAGTGCTGGTTGATGTCCCAGCTGCTCCACTTCCCATCCAGCTCCCTGCTAATAGTCTGGGAAGTGACTTTCCGGAGGTCTGAAGCTTTCTGGTATGGAGCTGTCTTGGGACTCATAGAGTTGACTCCTACTGCTTCTTACACTGCTACTTAGAGGCAGTGCCCACATGTGTTAAGCAGTGGAGTATATTGATAATGTGAAAGGAAGGAGAGAAAGAGCAAGATCTATTTGCATCCCAATGTCCAGAGATCACTAGATCGTGATGTCACTGATTGTGATGGTGAGAAATTACTTACCTAGATTTGTTCAAGTCTTACAAAGCACTTCAGTGTATGTGCCTACACCTTTGCTTCTACATGTGTGAGCGTATCCTTTTATCACTATTTAGGGTAAGAAATCTTCAGCTTTGTCTCTTGAAATGAGGACTCTTTGGGTGATTAGCATATTCTGGATATAAAATATGTAATTGCTAAGAGAAAAGGAAATTTGACAGATGGATTCTGAAGATCCAAGTCTCTAGGGAGCAGTGGGTTATTTAATGATCAATATCCATCATAGGCATGGAAAGAGAACCATTCTATTGTGAGGGCTCCAGTCAATCTTGTTAAAAAACATTTAGTGGCCATACATAATGATAATGTGCCTGTTTTTTTTATTTTATAATGTATTATGTACATATTTGAAATATAGTTTATAAAAAGCATCTGTATATGAAGTTAATCATCTCCCAAAGTATAAAGTCTTCCTTTATTTAAAAAATTTATTTTTTATTTGAAAGGCAGAGTTACAGACAGGAAATACAAAGAACTCTTCCTTCAACTGGTTCACTATCACAAAAGGCCGCAATGGCCATAGCTGAACCAATCCTAAGCCAGGAGCTTCCTCTGAGTCTACCACATGGACGCAGGGGTCCAAGAACTTGAGCCATCCTTAAGCAGGAAGCTGGATGGGAAATGGAGCATCTGAAACTCAAACCAGTACCCATATTGATGTGGCACCAAAGATGGAAGTTTAGCCTACTACACTATGGCATCAGCCCTTTCCTTTTTTTTTTTTTTTTTTTAGGATTTAAAAATTTTTATTGGAAAGTCAGATCTACAGAGAGAAAGATCTTCGGTCCACTGGTTCACTCCCCAGCTGGCTGCAACAGCCAGAGATCTGAAGCCAGAATCCAGGAGCCTCCTCTGTATCTCCTACACAGGCACAAGGTCCCAAGGCCTTGGGCCATCCCCCACTGTCCTTCCAGGCCACAATCAAGGAGCTAGAAGGGAAATAGAGCAGCTGGAATATGAACCAGCACCCATATGGGATCCCAATGCATGCAAGGCAAGGACTTTAACCACTAGGCCATCACGCCAGGTCTATTACCTAAGATTTATAAAATTTCAAGACCTCATTTTAGCACTCTCATAAGCTTTAAGGCAAACTAATTTAAGGGGGTAAGTAGATTTACCAGGATATGATTGCAACCTGGATGGAAAATCTTGAGTCTCTAACAAAGTTCCCTAGGTTTCTTTAAGAAAATTAAATTAGAATAAACCCAGGAAGATCCTGCACCCTAGCTGGACAATGATATTTTAAAAAACCTCCAAGAAGGATTGGGCACAAGAGAGGGATAATCACCAGATGCTGCCCTTTTTGAAAGTCTAACAGCCTCCCCCTGCAGGAGCCAATCCCAGAGATCACTATACTGCCTGCTAAAATCCCTCTTCTCTGTTGAAGACTGAGAAGTCCACTCAAATCACAAATTCAGAGATTTTAAGAGAGGATTGATAGACAACTGATAGTACTGATAGCCAGGCTGGAGAATAAGGCTGGTGGCATCAGGGTAATCAACTAATAGACAGCCAGTCCAAGTGAGGAACATGTTCATTGGGCACCTGAAGTTGACTGAAGGAAGGGTATGTGAGATTCTCGGAACAGCTCGGGTTAGGACACTCTTCCTCATTTCACCCATGACAGGCTATCCACATGATTGCTTCTCTTCAAGTATACTAGGACATCTCAATTGAGGATGATTTTGCCCCCTCTTCTGCACTAATGACATTCCTTAGTAGATATTTGCACTGTTAGGCTTTTGAGGAGGGAAATGACCCAGGCAATTGGAGGGAACAGACCAAGAATGCTGCTACACATCCAGTACACACAAGTATTGTTCTGACCCAAAGGTCCATGATCACCTGCATGAAAACTTTCTCAAGATTTATTTACCTGTTTGAAAGTCAAATTTACAGAGATAAAAGGAAAGAAAGAGATATCTCCCATTTATGGATTTACTCCCTAGATGGTCTTAATGACAAGTGCTGGGCCAGGCTGAAACCAGAACCACGAGTTTCTTTCAGATCTCTCATGTGGGTGGCGGGGCCTAAGCACTTGGGCCATCATCGGCTGCTTGTCCCAGGCTATTAGTGGGAAGCTGGATTGGAGGTGGAACAGCTGGGACAGGAACTAGCACCTATATGGAATGCCAACATTGAGATGGTAGCTTTAACCATTATGCCACAATGCCGGTTCCTGCATTTGCTCTTAGAAACCATCTGCTTTCTTAGTACTTTATACCCAGCACCCAGCTGGGGTCCTGGCACCAAGGCATTGAGTACATGTTTACTGAATACAGATAAGCCATACTGCTTCATTTTCAGCCAATTTGGCTAAGTAATTACTTAGACCCCAGCAGGCACTCTGAACCCTTAGCACACACTGCAAATGACTTATTTCTTCCTGCCCATTACTAGTAGGCATTGGCCCTACTTCTGAACTGCAGATAAGGGATTGCTTTAAAAAGAGAAGGCAGGCATTGTGGCACGCAGGTTAAGCTACCACTTGGAATGCTTACATGTAGTGAGGACCACCTGTATTTATTTCCCACCTCTGTTCTAATCCAGCTTCTTGCTAATGTGCACCCTGGGAGAGAGTGGATGATAGCTCAACTATCTGGGTCTCTGCCATCCACATGGACAACCCAAATACCACTCTTGTCTCCTAGGCCTGGCCATACCTGGTTGGGGTGGGCATTTAGAAACTACAGCACATGATGGAAAATCAATCCTCTGTTTTTCCTTCCTCTTTATCATTTTACCTTTCAAATCAAATTAAAAGAAATGGATTATATTTCTTCTGTTTCACCTTTTTACCTCAAGTCTCAATGTGGAAGTTGAGCCAGTAACTTAAGAAAGTACATGGAAATTGGAGTTACACAATAAAAATAGACCTTTATTTCCCAACATCAGCTTCATGAAGATCAAGTAGTCTTTTGTAAATGATGGTGTCAGCTACTGAGTCCATCCCTGAAAAACTGAGGGTCCTGAGAATTTAGCCTTTTTGTGTTCCCTCCAAAGATTATTTCAAGATTAGAGTAAATTCAAGACTGCGAAGTAAAAAATGTGATGATTTCCCTTCAGAATTCTCACCAGATTGTCCTGGTTGGATGAGAGGATGGAGCAGGGCATTGTCATGCTTGAGAAGGACTAGCTGGGAAGCTTTCCAACATGCTTTACTGCTGACACTCTGGCTGTCTTTCCCAAAATACTCTGCTAAGAAGTCAGTGTTCTGGGTTCCCCCAGAAGATCGATAAGCAAAATGCTTTGAATTGAACATCCCCAAAGACTGTTGCCTTGATCTTTGCTCTTAACTTTGCTCTTGCTTCCATCACTTGGGCAGCCATTACTCTGCTTTGTCTTTTAGCCTCTTATACTGAGTGCATGTTTTCTTGTCTGTGGTAATCCTTCGTAAACTTGATCCCATGTGTTTAAAATTTGTGTGGAAATTTATGCTGTTGTCTGCAGTTGATCTAGGTGTAGCAGTTTGGGCACTTGTGAGCAGAACAGTTGGAATTGTATAAGCTGAAACAGCTGCGATGTCCATGGGGTTGGCTATTGTTCTTGTTAATCATCAGCACCCTTTAATTAGCACATTAAGAAGCTTAACTTTTTTCCTCAAGTTGATATGGATGGCCTTCTGCTGTGGACTTCATCTTATGCATTATCTTTTTTTAACAATTTATTTGGGGGTAGGCAGCATCATACCACACAGCAGGCTAAGTTTTAAGCTGTGGCACCAGATCACATTTGGGTGCTGGATCACATCCTGGCCTCTCTACTTCCAGTCCAGCTCCATGCTTATGGCCTAGGAAAGCAGCAGGAGATGCATCAAGTCCTTGCAACACTGTACCTGGAAGAAGCTCCTGGCTTCAGACTGGCACAGCTGTAGCTATTGTGGCCATTTGGGGAGTGAACCAACAGATGGAAACATCATTGCTCGCTTGCGCTCTCTGTCTCCCTCCTCCTCCTCTTTTTCTTCTCCTTCTCTGTAACTCTGCCTTTTAAGTAAAAATAGATCTAAAAATAATACTTATTTAAAAGCAGTCTTCCATGTACTATTTACTCTCTGGAAGGCTATGGCAGCCAGGGCTGAGTCAGTCATTAGCTAGCAATCAGGAGTTTCATCCAGATCTCCCACACTGGTGGCAAGAGCTTTTATAACAAAATTCATAGTTGTTAACAGGGGCTTTTTTCAAACTGATACCTTTCCTTGCTTTGTGCCTCAAACTAAATCTTGCTCAGACATAGTATAACAAGTTAGTGTGAGTCTGTTTTGATGCTAAAATTTTTCCAAAATATATACATTTTCATAGTACACATTTCCATCAATTTTGTAATCATCCCCTATATTTATGTACACATTCAGTCTACTCTTAAGGCATGAAATAAAAATATTTTCCCTGCTTATATTTTGATATAAAGATTGACATTGAATGTTTATCTTAACCATGGTGATTATTTGATATTTTCAAGGATATCTAACCTTGAATGTCTGTGTAGATGAGGTATAAGAGGGAAGTTTCTAATACAATGAGCATTTTTAGTACAACTTGATCATTTTTCTTTGCTTACATACAGCTCTGAATATCCATGGGTTCTCCATATGTGGATTCAACCAACTGTAATTTGAAAATATTCTGGAAAAAAATTGCATTTATACTGAACATATATTTTTCCTGTCATTATTCCATACCCAATACAAGTTATTTACGTAGCACTTACATTGCATTATGTAATACAACTAATCAAATGAAAAAAGTATATGGGAGGATGTGCATAGGATATATGCAGACCATGTGATTTTGTATGAGGACTTGACATCTTCAATATGAGGATTTTCTTATCTGGGGATGGAGAGTCCTAGAATTGGTACGCTGTGGCTACCAAGAGACAGTTGCATAAATGGTATTTATTTTTATGAGGACAAAAAGTTCTGTGTAGTCCTAGGAACTCATCCTCTAAGCAAAGCTAGCTCAGTATGTCTGTGTTAGGCCATCTGAAGATGCAGGCCAAGCCCAAGCCCAAGTACCTCTTCTCTGTAAAAAGGCACTTTCTGGAAACAAGGAGCCTACATTATTTCATAGGACTGCCTCCTGCCCCTAGCCAATGGAAGATGATGATCAGATGGGAGTGGTAATCTACCTGTGTTCAGGCCTCACTCACCCCCAGTGATTGGAAGGGGTTTTATATGCTCACCTTCCCTGCTGGCCTTTCCCCAGTGAACCTTATTCACATGCACACTGTGGCTCCCTTAGGAATACACATACAACATGCCATGTAGGCAAGCAGTCAAATTGAGGAAGGCAAGGAGTTATCCTAATTTACAAGCTACTTATCATATTTTAAATCGTACCTCTCTGTTATATAATTAACCTTTTATGATATTAATTGAAGCTATGCCAGAGAGCAGGAAATAGGGTAAATACTCAGATATTTGTTTGTGTAGAGGAAAGTGAAGTTGTATTATCATACCTTTCCTGTCTTTGCTCCCATAGGGACTGTTTTTTAAAGAAAGAAAGAAAAAGAAATGATTAGCCGATGCTATGAAAAAAGTGTATTGACACAGTCCTGTTTGGTCCCCAAATATTTTAAGGATGCTAATTACTTAGTAAATTTTTTTTTCTTTTTCTTTCTTTTTTTTTTATTTAGTTTGTTAGGAGGCCACTTGAAAGAAACTTTGAGTAAGGGCAACGATAGCTCTGATATTTCTGGGTTACCACTTTGTTTTCTATTTAGGGACAATATGAATGTAAATAATTGTGTTTTCCATAGATCTATTGGCAATGTTTACATTCAAGTTTATGGCCTACCATATACAACAAGGATTTAAATGCTCTTGGTTGCCACATTGTCCGATTCCTTGTGATTTGCCTATCTTTATTTTCCTTTTGTCTTTTTCATCTATTTCAGATTTATCATTGCTGTCACATGTATCTCTGTAAACATCCAGATTTATCTGTGGACAAAATAGCGAACAGTGTACATGAACAAATGTATTATCATAGGCTTTTTTTTCCCTCTTTCAGATTGAAATGCTACCAGATGGACTATTTCAGTGCAAAAAACTTCAGTGTTTACTTTTGGGGAAAAATAGCCTCATGAACTTGTCCCCACTTGTGGGCGAGCTGACACACCTGACACATCTGGAACTCATTGGTAATTACCTGGAGACGCTTCCTCCTGAACTCGAAGGCTGTCAGTCCCTGAAGCGAAGCTGTCTGATTGTCGAAGAGAATTTACTGAATACTCTTCCTCTCCCTGTTACCGAACGTCTGCAGACGTGTTTAGATAAATGCTGATCTAAACACAAGTCACCCAAGTCTCAGAACCATGTTGGAAAGTCAGCCTTCAGGCTGTGTGTGAGAAGGAAAATATCCTGTGTAATAAAGAAAACTGAGTGGTGATTGTGATGAGTGGCAAGCATGAGTCACATTAAAGCAACTCAGTGTCTAGCCCTGCTTTAAAGGTGTTGACACTGAACGGAAATTTTGTTAATAATTGAAATTTAACTTATTAAATTGTTGTAAGAAGTATACATCAAGGGTGAAACTGGGGGGAGGGGCATGATATTACTGACTTATTATCTTCATATTTTTACCATGAAGACTGCACAGGTATTATTTCCTTTTCCTCCCTCAGTCTGCATGACTGATTTGCACAATTATTTTAACTGACTTCCTGTTTTCATACTTATCATCAAGACCATGAAATCCTCAACATAAATTTCCTTGATGTATACTTCTTTGATTTAATTCTTCCCTTTTTTTTTTTTTAAAGAATGTATTATGCTTGGCAGAACTCCTTTTTGGCTTAATTTTAACTTCCTTTCCCAGCCTGCTTGAGTCTTGCTTGATCTAATTTTCTCTATAACAACAATGACCCCTGAGAGAAATGCCCGCCTTGGGGCTTGGATTTGAAGAGAAGCAGGGCTCCTAATTAACATGTGTTCTCAGGCATCCTGGAAATCAATGTTTTCTTGAAAAGGTCTTCATACTTATCATCGAAGCCTTTTTTGATTTGTGAAGAACTTTGATATTAAATGTTAAACATTTCTATGGTTAGTTTTGGATTCAACATCTGTAAAAATGATTTTTGTAAGGTAGTAAGACCATAGGCATATTGGTGTTCTTAGTTTTGGTTGTCTATGATTCTCATGTTTGTGTACATTCTGTTCCAAATGTTTCATCACTCTGCAGCTCATTGCATTTGGACAACAAAAGCCTTGTGTTTCATCCCATGAAGTATTTGGGAGTTTCCTTGTGAGAGAATGGCTTATCATCTACCTCTCTCTTCCCTAACTGTTATGCAACTGTACGGGTACAATTCCTAATTATTCACAAAAACTGTGATGGAGGAGACAGGTACAGACTTGGCTTTCAGAATTAATTTTAAAATACTTGTAGAAGTTTAGCAAGCATTGAAGTGAAACACTTTTTTCCCTCCATCCGCATGCTCTCTAGGTGTGATTCTGTTGTAAAGCACTCAGCTTCTATTCTGTGTCTTGTAGGAATTTTCAAAGCCCACAAAGAACTAGATGCAGTTAACTGAAATTCATCTCATGACTTTATCCATCTCTTGTGGAATACACTTTGGTTCCTTATTATAAAGAGCTGTGTGTTTGACCTTTTATTATTATGCATATTGTTAAATGAGTAAAACCCACCAACTCACATTTGGGAAATGTGCATTTTCAATATGCTTTCCTGTAATGGCTCCAGGCATTTGATTGCCACCTCTTTGTGGATGCAACTCTGGAATAAGCTATTAGCTGCATCTATACCAAACTGGAAAACACTACAGATAGAGAGTACTGGAAATGTGGAAATGTGGTGTGTGGTTTTGTTTTGTTTTTTTTCTCTCACTTTGTTCCAGGAAGATGAAATTGTTCTTTGAAGTATAACAAATGTAGCTCACCTCTTCTTCCACACACCACTAAAGTTTAGGCAAAGAATGATTCACGTCAAATAAAATTTGAATAGTAGTAGCTATTTTAAAAAATGACCACCAAAAGCTGCCAAACACATTATTGTTTGTACTGAATGGGGAGAAACTGTATAAAAATAAACTTTTTACCAAAATTTGCCTTCAGTCAGAACAGTTGAGTTCTCAGGGAACTAGTCATAACTGATGAAACTTTATTCTAGAACATCAAAAAATAGATCCTGACTATATAGAGCTGTTTTGTTATTGTTTTTTCCATTTCTTTAATGTGAGTTGATGATTATTTTCATGTTTCACTATACAATTATATGTACTGATTCCAGTGTTGGATAAAATTATCTTTGGTTTGGGATGTGTACATGATACAAAAAAAAAAGTGTTTTCAGCCACATAGTTAGCCAAATTTGTATGAAAAAAATCCATCTTCCCATATAGGGAAAGAGTTTTAAAAATAAAATTCAAGTTTGTTACCACTTGACAAACTAGAATTTTTCCAGAGCAAGTCACTGGTCCTTTTCAACTGCAAAGATCAGTGGCTGAATTTCCCTTATCACCTGCATAAATTTGTGGGAGCAATTTACTGGCAGAATCAATATTGAATATTAGGAGCTGTTTTCCAACACACTAGAATATGGTCATTGGTGTAAATTACATTACTAATGATGCTGTGGGTTTTGAATTTCTTATCTAAATATTGTTCACCAGTATTTAGGTAGCTTTAGAAGCAACATAGTACTGAAAACGTTGAACAGTGAGAATACACCACTTGACAAAGAAAATGGTGGTGTTAATACCACCTTTCCTGCACTGTCAGGGTGGGTCTTTATTTTACTAGTATCCATTTTCCTTTGGTAATGAAGAAAATGGAGTTTGTAAAATTGTAAGACTTTAGTTGACATTTCTAATAATGTGTATGCATTTTCCAAAAAAAATAATAAAAAGGAAGTTATGAAAAAACAAAGTTTATAGCTTATGCCAGTAGTGGTGTTAATCCATTTTATTTGCATCACCCCAAAAACATACACAGGGATGAACAGAGAGATACACAGATACCCATGTATACAAAGGGTAACTTCGTTTTCTATGCATTGAGTATGTTTTCCAGAACTACAAAAAGTTGTAGGCTAATTCTAGGATCACAGTCATTTTTATTCATTAGTTATAATCAAGGAGAGTTCTGTTTCCTTAGTTGTAACATTTAAAAGAAAACCAAATTCTCCATTTTAGTTTCAGAACCTAAGTGTTTGTATGCCTGTAAAGGTATGGCCTGCATCAGGACACATCTGTTTTGTACACAGGAAATATATTTTCACTCTTCAGCCTTGGTGCAGTTGTTCCCCAGTATTTACTCTCACTGAACATTGATTTCACACAGGGTCAGGGGAGCTTCTCAGGATCACAGTGCTGTCACAGCTCCAGTAGACATGCTGTGTGTGGCTGTGGTTATTTATTCCTACAACATTTTTGTTGGGTAGTGAAAATATTTGTTTTTTGTTCCTCACATGTTTTGTGACTCAAGTTTTACTTGTTTAAAATATCGCATACTACTGGATCATGAAAATAAACCATTGTTCTCTGGAATTGACATTAGTTCACCTGTTTTTAATAAAATTCGATTTCCATCTTAATAGTCTCTTAACATTGTCCTCGCCACACAAAGAACTTCATCTTTCTTTTCCACTTACCCTCCCTATTTATTATGATCAACACTGGTAACAAGGAATTTTGCTAAAGGGTTTGCAGTGACACCTGACTATATATTTACTTGGAAAGAAGCCAGTGCCCCTGTGTCTGCATGATTAGTTGTAGTTTACCATCTTTCTGCAAGATACACAGCTGATCCTATGATCCCCATCCTTACAAAAAGCCTCAGAATCTGTGAATCCACTCTGTCTTAACTGTACATTGCATTAGAATCTGAAAAGACAGACTGGTGGGATAGCAGACAAGTTATTTGTATTAGGAAAACGCTGTTTATGAAATGCTTTCATAACTGTTACAAAATGCCCTGGGTGTCATTCTTTCCTCAACTGGATGTGAACAGCTACCTGCTTCCTATTTCTTATACTCCATGTTTCCATCACCTGGGAACTATCACCAAGTACCTTTGGTAATGGACTAACTCTGTTTACCAGTTTTTTTACATGATCCATTTCACCAACATTAAAACATTAACCTAGAATATGTGAGCTAAAGTCCTGAGCTGAGATGGCTTCCAATTGAATTTAATATTTAAGTTTTGCATTTGACTTGTATATTATGCTACTGTTGAGAAAACCAATTATGAATGTCTCCTGCATGTTAATGATCTCTGAGATGGTACCACTGTAAAAATACAAAGGTTAGAATAGATGTTTGTGCATATGTATGTTGTGTATAAGTTAAAATACTTTCATGAGAAGGTTTGTAAAATTCCTCAAATGTTTCACTCTGAGAAAAAAATGGAGAAATCTTGAGTGGGACCTTGTTTTGTTCATTTACAATAAAGGCTAGTAATTTTTTTTTTTTACCTGTCACATATTTGAAAACATATACAATTTGCTTCTGGTAATGAATTGCTAGAAAATGGAAGCTTTTGTTCAGTGTTTTCATCTCTCAGATGTACCAGGTAAATCTGCACTTCGGCAGTGAATCCCTCAGATTCAATAGTTTTCGGTAATCTTTGCTATTATTAAAGTAACTTGTATAAAATACAGATTCAATTTATATAATGGCAAATAAAATAGCTTAAGTTCTAGAAGTAGCTTGACTATATCAATTTTTTACCTGTGTTTACTTCTCATACCCAGGTTGCAGGGGTGGTTTTGTGCCTCTTAGCTTCCCTGTGAAAGTAGAATGTTATGTTATTCACCAGATGGTAGATGTTTTAATTTGCTTAGAAATCATATCATACCAGGGCTATGAGTCTTTAAGGTTACACTATATTGATAACAAAAGAGCAAGCATGTGAAAGCATAGGATGAACCCTACAGTACACTAAGGAGTAACGGAGGGAATGAAATCTGTCATTCCCATGATGAGTCCCTGTTCCCAGTGGTGTTCCTTCTCAGTCTCAAGGGCAGATGTCTAAACCAACTCATCTTTTTCCAACCCTTCCCGCTTGGTGCCTATAAATAGAAACCACACTACAAATCATGTTGAATCTGCTAAAAACTAATTAAAATTTTAAAATTTAAAACTAGGGGACCTGGCATGGTAGCCTAGTGGCTAAAGTCCTCGCCTTGCACGTTCTGGGATCCCATATAGGCACCAGTTTGTGTCTCGACAGCCCTGCTTCCTATCCAGCTCCTTGCTTGTGGCCTGGGAAAGCAGTTGAGGATGGCCCAAAGCCTCGGGACCCTGCACCCACGTGGGAGACTCAGAAGAGCTCCTGGCTCCTGGTTTTGAATCAGCTCCAGCCATTGTAGCTGCTTAGGGAGTGAATCAACACACAGAAGATCTTCCTGGCTCTCCTACTCTCTGCACATCTGCCTTCTCAATAAAAAATAAATATATCTTTAAAACATAAAACTAGGAATGGAATGCAATGCTGAGACACTTTAGTAAAGGCAGAAAAATTTAATTGTTGGAAAAAAATTTTTGCACATGATAATTTAACCTGGATTGACAAGTCTTTTTCACAAACATAAAAAGCACATTGATTCACATTAAAAATTGATATGCAAATTGGGGCAATATTATTATGCAGTTTGCCTTGTGATGCCTGCAGTCCACATGTGAGCTCCAGTTTGAGTTGCAGCTGCTCAGCTTCAGACCTAGTTTTCTGCTAATGCACCTGAGAAGGCAGCAGATTTGATTACCCAGATGCGTGGGCCTCTGCCACTTATCTGTGGGACCAGGATGAGTTCTTCTCCTGGCATCACCTGGCCCTACATCTGGCTATTTTGAAGCCCTTTGGAAATTCAACCATTGGAAATTGGAAGAATTCTCTCTCTCTCCCTCACACATACACATACACAGAGATTGTCACTATGGTCTAATACCTCCTATCACTCTGCCCTTTCAATAAGTAAACATGTCTTTTTACAGTCTGATAGGCAGACCACTGCACTGCTGGACTTCATACACATTGGACCACATCATGAAGAAAGTTAATTCTGATTGCTCTCTGAAATTGGTAGTTTTGAGAAAGCCTCCTGCTCCTTCCTTCTCGCACCTGGGACCCACGCAGCCTGGCTAGAGGATGAGAAGTACATTGAGGATGTGCAGCAAGTGCCTGCTGTAAGGCACCATCCCACACCACTTCTCAGGAGTGCCAGGTGCTCCAAGGGCTGGGGTCCACTGGGTGGTGAGTGCCTCGTCCTCTGCAGCAGAGCAGCCACTGTGCCAGCATGTTCTTTAGTCTTTGCTTCCCGCTTTCAATGATCTTGGGAAGCTGCAGTGAAGGCTGTGTCCATGGATGTGGTTGTGGGCAGGGAGCCATCCTCCCGTGTTTCTTGCCTGGTGATCTCTGACCGCTCCTGTCTGAGGCTGGAGTGAAGCAGGTTAATCAAAACGACAATACTAGGCCTCACACTCAATTGCCATGTTGACTTAACATTTATACAGAGTCAAAGAAGGGTCAGCAAAAGTTCATTTTTAACACATTTTAATTTTTGAATTGAAGTCCCTTCCATCACCATATTGTCTCATGTTTCTCCAAACTTCAGTTCTGAGTCTCTTTGCCTCCTAATCCTAATGTTCCCCTATAGAGCTGCTTGTCTGCTAGAGAAGAGATTTTCAAATTATTTCTTATTAAAAATACTTGCAATTTTACAGGTCCTATAATATGCTTGTTAAGGTAGGATTCAACCCATGTCATTTTTTACCCTCTACCTCCCTCTGCCACTGAAAGCAGAATTGATCCGATAGAGGCTGCTCACAGTCACTCTCTAGCAAACAGTTCCAGAATCCTTAAAGGAACATGGCATCCAGGTTCCTACCTGAGAAGCCAACACAGTTTCTGCTTCCAGCACTCCTCCTTGCCAGCCTTCTTGTTGCACTGTCTCAATCCAGATCTGTCCAGCTCTGTGCATACTGCAAGAGCTGCCTCTCCTAATCATGTCTCTTATATGGTTGCCAATTACCCATTTGCCAAGTACAGTGACTTCTCAGTCAGAGCCTCTGTAGGCAGCAGGAAACATTCTTAGGGTTTAACAACACATACAATTATCTTGGCAAACTTTCTTGCAGAGTGGAGAGTGGCTCACAACTCCATGTATAAAAGACAAAGTTACAAAGCAAGCTTGATTCCAGAACAGTCATTTAAGAACTCATCCTCTCCTTCTAGATGGGGTCCTAAAACCACAGCTTTTCAGCTTCCTGCCCCTCTGTTTGATTTTATTTTGCCTTGCCTTTATCAAATGTCACCTCAAGGTGAGATGTTGAGAGTCACTGACCTTCACCTAATCTCAGTGACTCTCAGATGAAATGCATACAGAAGACTACATGCGATGTCTGACACTAGGGCCAGACCATACATTTGGGTGTTCTTGGATGGGTAAGAATTTGGCAACTTTGGGGCCAGCATGATGGCTCAACTGGTCTCGGGGGTCCCTCTACTGGGACTTGAGGTGTGACTGCTGCACCAAGAAGAAATTGTGACATAGGGGATGCAAAGGCAAGATGAACGAGTGCACACTTTATTGAATTTTACTGGGCAACTTATACCATGATTTTGGCAGAGCAAGCAGGCAAATAAAAGTTACTAGTTAACTAAACAATAGCATACAAGCTACTCCAATCACTAAAAGATGAAATGATAGTGAAGACGCCTCACACCTCTCTAGGCACACTTAGCCAGCAAAGCCTGCAATCTCAGCAAGAAGTTAGCTTCCTGCATAATTCTCGATCTACCAAGAACTTTTGAGATTTGGGGTCCTCAGACAACTTGTGGTCTAGTTCAGGGGACACATCTCCCTATTTAGCAAATCTCAACAAACTGGCCAACCCTCCACCTACATGCGCCAGCATCCTATATGGGTGCTGATTTCTGTTCCAACAGCTCCATTTCTGATCCAGCTCCCTTCTCATCACCTGGGAAAGTAGCAGAAGATGGCCCAAAACCAGGGGACTCTGCATCCACAAGGGAGACCTGAAACTCCTGGCTTCTGGCTTTGGATCAGCTCAGTTCCAGCCATAGTGGCTATTTGGGAAGAGAATCAGTGGACAGAAGCTTTCTCTTTCTCTCCTCTCTAAATAAATCTTCCTTTCCACTAAAATTAAATAAATCTTTTTTTAAAAAAAAGTAAAATGAAAATAAACGGGTACTTTAAAAAAATTGGTAACTCAAAGAAAACTTGAAATATTTATTCAGTATATGATTGATAAGAATGGGGGAACTTCTATTACTAAAAATCTTGAATCATAAAGATTCAACTGTTGGATGTCAACTGTTACCTTACTCCATGCTCCAAAACCAAAATTTTAGCATGATTTAGGTGGAGATTAAAGATAGTTGAATTGGAAGGCACATGGGAATGGGGGCTCCAGGGAGAGAGAGAGTCTTCACATTTTGGAGGATCTCTGCCAAGCATCCCCATTGCGGAAATATTTCTAGAAGGGTTGTCAACTGTTTCACCTCCCCCTTCCATTTCTCCCTCTGAGTACTCCATCCCCTGGTGCCTCCTCCCCTTATCAGATCATCCAATTCTCTCTCTCTCACCCACACTGTCTCATTATGCTCTTCAGAGTTGTCCTAGCCATATGCCCCAGATTTACATATACTCACCTCTCACTCATTTCCATCTTCAAAGAACTTCAGACAGCTAGTATTCCAGGATGATGTTTTGCTTTGTGCCCACCAAAAGTGCTTTTGAATTACTTGGGTACTTCAAAAGCTCAGGGGAAGATGGAGCTTTAAGATACATTTATATATTAAAAGATGTATTTAAAAGAGCAACAGAAAGATAGGGAAAGGGACAGAGATTTTCCATTCACTGATTCATGCCTTAAAATGATCAACAGCCAGCGCTTTAAGCCAAGAGTCTGGAACTCCATCCAGGTTTCTTTCATGGGTGGCAGGGACACTAATACTTGGAATTTCTTGGTCTGCTTTCCCAAGTGTGTTAGCAGGAAACTGGATAAGAACAGAGTAACTGGGACACAAACCAGTGTTAAGACCATATTCTTCTCAGCAGGACCAGTGAGGTACCATTGCAGTGAGGAAAACTGTTTGTCTCTTGCAATGTTGCCTGGTTCTTTCAAACAGTATGGAATCATTTTCCTTTTGGAGTTTCTGAAACTACACCACTAGGGGGGGACCAAACACCAGGGTGTAAGGGAATTTATAGTCTAAACCAAAGCTGAATTCTCATCTTTGTTAGCTCTTCAGCGATGCATTGAGAATCTGCTCAAGACAAACACAGAGCCGTTTTCTGTCACTTTTCCAACTAAGCAATCCACCTTTTCCATAATAGAAGGAACCTTGCTCAGGCAGCTGCTCTGTGAGAGGGTAAAGCCCGAGGAACTAACCAATGAGAAAGAATTGATTGCATCCACATTAAGAGAGTTGAGGAAAAAATTTCCTGGGCTTGTGACATCATGGCAGAACAATCATTACCAGCCTCATTGGATGGTTTCAAATGGAGAAAAAGTAAAAACTGAACCATATGGCTGTGCTTGTGTAGCTTGGAGAAATCGTCATTGTAGAGGGAAATAACAGTAGGGTACAATCATAAGTTTATTCAGTTCCTTCTCCATGCCAAGGTTTTTATATGTGCTATTTCAACCCATCCAACAATCCCATTTGGCATATTGTTCCAATTTTACAAGTTAAGAAAGAAAACTTTATAAACAACACAAAGTCTCACAACAATTCCAAACAGAAAGCATATTCAACTGTACAGATGTTTGGCTGAACATTTAACATCTGAACTTTATCCTAGTGGACATATCACGGTGTTTCCAAAACTCTTTTTCAAAGCTGAGCAGTCTCTTCTATTCCAGTCTGCTTTGCACTTCGTATTTCTTCCTGCTCCACATCTGTCCTAGTTTCTAACTTCTAGCTAATCAGCCTCTAGCTTCTTATTTCCTTCTTGCCTTCTAATCTCATTCTGGAATCATAGAGTTTTCCACTGAGACAGAACCACACAACCTTCTGAGAAGGGAAGACTGAGTGGTTTGTTGACAACTTTACTGACCAAGGGAGATGGCTCTCCTACTGGTGCTTCCCTTTGTTGAGTGTCCTGCCTGTACTGGTGGGTTGGCTGGCTCTGAGGAACAGAGAGCATCTGCCTCTAACCAAGGTTTAGAGGAGGAGCTAAGATTCCAACCCATGTCTCCTGCCCAGCTCCAAATCCTGTGCATGCTACATTTGTACAGCCATTCTTCCATTCCACGTTGTATTTCAAGATACAACTTGCTGTGTACATGCGGGACTGTACCCACAGCACTTTGGGCTCTAGATTCCTTTCTCATATCAGTAACTTAGGTTCTAAAGGAGTACAGATTCCTGCACTAGTTATCATTATTGAGAACTAAAGTACCTGCAATGAACTTTATAAACAATAGGTTAAACATACTAAGATACTTGACTATATAGCTAGTATATAACAGAGTCCTGTTGGGACCAGTATTGTGGCATAACAGGTAAAGGTACCAGCTGCAATACCAGCATCCCATATGGGCACCAGTTCAAGTCCCAGCTGCCATACTTCTGATCCAGCTCCTGAGAAAAGCACTGAAAAAAATGATTCCAGTGCTGGGATGCCTGCCACCCACATGTGAAACTCAGATGAAACTCCTGGCTCCTGGCTCCTTGCTCCTGCATTCAGCCTGGCCTAGTCCTGGCAATTGCGGCATCTGAGAAGTGCACCAGTGAATAGTCTCCCCCCCCCCCTCAGCTTTTCCCACTCCCTCTGTAACTCTGAATTTCAAATAAATAACTCTTCTTGAAAATAATAATAATGCTGTGGGAAATTAGCTCATCTGACTCCTCGTAATAATAGAGCTGGTTTTGAACGGGAGAAGCTGTAGCACCAAATCCTCACTTCTTACATGTGAAAGTGCTTCCAAAAGTCTGTGCAAGTGGGAGAAGGCGTTTGGCAGAGTCATCACTTGGAATGCCCAAAGAGTGCCACCTGATTTGAGCCCACTCTTCACTTCAGATTCAGCTTTCTACTCGCATGCATCCTACGAGGCAGCAGATGACGGCTGCAGTACTTCTGTCCTTGCCACGCATGTACGAGGCTCAAATGGAGTCACAGGCTCCTCGCTTCAGCCTGGATCAGCTCTGGTTCTTTCTAGGCATTTGGGAAATAAACCAGGAGACAGGAGATTTCACTCTTTCTGTCTCTCTGTGCCTTTGCCTTTCAAATAAAGTGGAAAATAACTTTTTAAAAAAAATGTGGAAAGTGGAAATGTAAAACCTTTTTTAAGTCTAGCAAAATGGATTCTAAAAATCAAACTTGAAGAATTTCTTTAAAAAATATGTTTTGAAAAACTGGCTTTCAAAATGTTTTGCACAAAAATAAACGTCTTTTAATTCCATT